TACAAATTGCGTAGACTGACGTTTATTACAAAATGCTGCAGCTCTTATTACAAAATGCGTCGTTTGCATTTAATACAAAATACTGCAGGTAATTACAAAGTGCTGCAACTTTTATTACAAAATGCGTAAGGTATTACAAAATGCGTAGTTATTACAAAATGCCGCAGAACATACTCTTTTCCTGTTTACATAGCCTCATCTAAACATTTCAGGATTGTTAGAATTCTGGAAAGTTATGCAAACCCTTGATGGGTCTCAGGTTTGCATATTTAACATTCTCAAATACTCCAAATCCCCCTCATGTTTAGATGAGGCTACAAAAACACAGAAAAAGTGCTCTTCTACACACAAGACAAGTGGCTCATAATGTTGGGGCTTAATATTCTCCGGTTTCAGTAGCACATTCAGCAACTAGAAGCATTTCTACTCCCCCCTGGATGGGATGCTGGTCCATCACAGGGTTATCTCCAAGCGTTAAATTTGACTGTAACCATTTATGCACCAAGGACCCAATTTTTCGAAAGCCCCGGAAATTTTTCGGGCCCATAAAGCCATTTTTAGTTCATCTGTATCTAAACAGGGAGAAGTGTATACGACTGAAACTTCTTGTATGAAGGGGACCTCTGTTCATATTAAGAATACATGAAAAAAAAAAAAAAACAGCTTTGTAATCATAAGGTTCAAGATTTTGCTATGGCATTCTGGTTACGAAAACATTTCAGAACCTTCAAGAAACAGGCCCCAGGGCAGAGAGAGAAAAACTTACATACCATCTTGTGGCAAATCAGGCATGTCTACATCAAGTATATCCTATGAAAACACAAACAGAACATGTTATTACCAGTTTTAACTGAAGAATCTAATTCTTAGTTGCAAAATGCCAAAAAAAAAAGCTTTGAAAAGAAAACTACACATTACACAAATTGCTATGAACTTGGTATGACCTGAAAACATCTCAAATATCAAATCCAGGTAAAATCTTGTTTGCATCATTTTGATTATAGTATTGTTATAAATCATTGTAAATATATGTACCAACCTTTCTTATTAATGACTTTTCTTATATTATCCATCAAATATTTTTGCGCACGCATGATTGGTCTAAATGTATCACTACCTTAATAAGCTCCAGCTAAAACTGGGAAATATCCAAATGATATTCCCCAGTTTTCAAAACTGTGCGTGTCTACACTGTAGAAAAATGTTTCAAGGATAATAAATACACTAGCTTTCATTTGACTTAAAAAATATGCTCACATATTGGACATCATCTGTTCCAAACGGTCACAGTTTTCCTAGCTGTTCTTTCAGAAAACAGGTACTGTTTGCTTCACGAAACATGTCTGCAGACACATCCAAGCTATCCAGACTATTGTATATGTTATTTCTCTTATCTTCCTTTTACATGCACATGTAATCTAACATTACAAGTACTAAATTTTAAATATATTTTTAGACTTGACCCACCAAGCACAAGAATGATTAGTTTACTACAGTGTAGATAAAAGTACTTTAAGTTACATCAGACAATAGTGACTACGCTTTGCTAATTGTTTTTTTTTTTTACTGTACTCACTGCTAAAGAAGATGTGTTGGCCAGTAGCTTCTCATAAGCTTTCTGTGCTTTCTCAAATGCTTCCTTTCTTTCTGGATGCAGTTCACCTTTGGTCTAAAGTAAAATCACCAAATTTGATAATTAATAATACTAACCAGTTTACAACTGAGACCAAACAACCACAGGACAACAAAATGTGGACAACATAACTGTACTGTATGATGCAGTTAAATGCAATTTAATGGAGTTAACAACAAAGAGCACCTGTGTTCCCGTAGTGGTCAGGGGTGTTTTGATATGTGCATGCACCAGGACTCCATGTGCTCCTGGACTGAGATATGACGTGTTGGCAGCCTTCACAGCCATAGCGTTTACAGTGAGTGTTGTTTTTCTTAGGAGCATGTCTTCGAGCATTCCCCCTCCCTTCCCTCCCTCTTTCCTCTGTTACATGTAATTCAGTGTGATGGGTGCCTGTCTCCCCTTCCGTGTGGGGGATCATGGTTCAGTTTGCCAGGATTTGCCAGCCATGAGAGCAATCTTCATCTAGGAGCTGGCTGCCAATAGTGGAAGCTCCTGGATGTCTCAGGCATCCAACCTCCATTTAGCAATGCAGTTGTTAATGTATACATGTACAATACATTAACTATAAACCAGTTAACTGCTTTGTAATTCAACTTGCATATTGACTGAAAGGAAGTGAAATCTGATGTACATAAAAGCTTAATAAGTGCTTATAATATTGTGAACTAAATTGCTGTTGAACTTTCCTCTGACACATTAGTCAGCTTTAAACTGACTCTCGTTTTGATGATTAATAATTGGTGTGATTAACTCAATAGTATAACTACAGTGTAAAGGACCTGTAATTTTCAAATTGGAATTAACATGTACCAATTAATTAATGTTGACTCATAAGTGCTTATAATATTGCGAACTAAATTGCTGTTGAACTTTCTTCTGACACATGAGTCAGCTTTAAACTGACTCTCGTTTTGATGATTAATAATTGGTTTGATTAACTCAATAGTATAACCACAGTGTAAAGGACCTGTAATTTTCAAATTGGAATTAACATGTACCAATTAATTAACGTTGACTCACAAGGGAGGAGAACCCAGAGAGATGACATGTGTGCATGAAAACAACAACAACAGCAACAACAAGCTTTCCTCAAACAACACAGCAAAAAATATTGAGGTAGATTGAGCCAAGGTTAACTCTAGCTTCTTGACTGCTTTCCAAACTTCCCTAATTCATCATAACTCAATCATGCACAACTAAAAGCATGAATCAATTGTTTATAACATGGCCAATGGAAATAAGGTCGAGTTAACTTGGCTCATGCCCCGAGTGTGTATCATTGGATTACGATGCACACTTATGTATGGAACGTGTATACCAAGTTTGATAGTGCAGCTTTGCTAGCTACAGTGTACAGTGTATATACATGTAAATGTACAATGTATCTAGTCTAAAGGCCCCTACTGGCCAATCCTTACAGGTATTATTCTGCTGTTTTAAGATCAACAAGTTAATAAAAATAAGTTCTATGTACCATTAAAGTTTGCCTGTTTTGCTTCTCTCTGTTTTGTAGATCCTTGTGTGCTTTGAGTAAATGGTTGGCCAGTGACTTGTAGTAAGTCAATAACAGTTGTTGAATTGCAGCTTGATCTTCAGCAGGAACTATAGCGCACTTTGGAAAGACAACCTTGTGTTTCTCAGCCATCAACCTTTGCTTCCGAGATGTTATACCAGCAAAGTCCTCGCCACAGTGACGAGCAAAGCTGCTGATGACCTGCACATATACATGGCTTTCTTTGTCACAATTAACAATGTTACTAAGGATGGTGCTAAGTATCTTAATGCCTTCAGGCAGTTTTGGAAAGACTCCTCCAATGATCAGCTCTCCTAACAGTCTCAGGGTGACACGATATTTACTCACATTTGCCAGCTGTGGAAATCAACATAAATAATAATTATTTAATATAGTACCCAAATTTGAGAGAAGTCAAAGATAGAACATCTTGAAAATGCTAGCTTTTTTTAAAAGTTAATGATCTCTTTCAATTATTTCATACTAATGTAGTTATTAACTTAGACTTATTTGATAGCATAGGTAATTGTTATTTTATTGTTTCTTTATTCAGAGATATCAGCACTCCCATGCTACACTGAAATCCGTATGGAAATAAAGTTATGTATGTATGTATGTATAACAAGAAAGCCAAGTTACGTCACTGCACAATTTTGGCTTTGTGCTTTCCCAACGTATAAATCTGTCTGTGTAAGTGTAAACATAAACTACATGTATTTACATGTACAGTATTGTAAGATATTGTACGTATGCATCCCTTAAAGATTAATCAATATCATGTTACAGCCATGTGAAAGTTGACCAGACTATAATGTCTTAGCAATCATAAATTTGTACATGTACATGTATGTCTTGTTTGACTGGCATATGATTTAAAATTCATGCTTCTGATTAGATGAACCACACAGGGGTAAAATTCCTCTTGATAATTTGGCATGTTGCAGGTGATTCAGTGTTAGTCGTCCTTCCTGCTAGGACTACATGTACCTCCACTGTACAACTGCAAGGTCTTTGAGAAAGTCTATCCTACACCATCAATTTTACGCCATGTAACATAACACAAAATACAATACCAACAGTAATTTACTCCATCCTTCGTATTGCGGTAGTTTCACCTGATGCCAGTTTGCCTAGACCAATAGCTCCATAGTGAATGGTTAAAGAACAAGATATAAACCTAATTATTTTGTGCGATTTCGTTTCATTATGCCCACAATGTTGTCTTTTACACTCAGACAGAAAAAGAGAAATTAAGTAAATCTTTCTTTTAACTTTCATTCCGGGTGAACAGACTTTTGGACAAACTGACATCAGGCAAACAACTACATGTAGCTATCAGGTGAAACAACTGATTACCCTACCTTCTCCTCTTCTTTCCCACCGTAGCCATCAAACATTTTCAGGAGTCCCTTTTTTAGAGGTTCACTGAAGTCAGCATACACTTGATGAATCAAGCCACAAATATGTGCCACACATCTCACATCTGCAAGCTTTAAAAACAAAACCAACAATCGGTTCACAACTGTAACCCTTTGAAAAATACAGACCATTTAAAATCTCCCTTCTCACATTCTGTACTTAAGTCAAATTATTGTTTCTTTTTTTTCCTTACTTAAAGGAAACTTATGCAGGTAATTAATTAAGGTAACGTTAACAACCATCTTAATAGCAATGATATAGCTTTACAGTGTCTAAGTACTAAAACTAGAAAATATTTCAATGCTTTAATACTCACCCAAAGCTACATGTACTACTAACAGTATCTAAAGTTTTACAGTTCAGTAAGCAGCTACATGTACTAGACAGTATAGATGCCATTTTAGCTGCTTTTCTTTGTCATTTGCAACTTAAACAACACTACAAACCTTCAATTTTACCAAGCCATCAACCATCGCAGCAACCTGTTGAAAAACAAGAAACAAATTGAAAATAATGCCTTGATGGAGCCACAACATCAACATTTTAACCAGCTTGCAAGCCACAAACTGGCAAAAATTTGTTACTTGTGAGTAATTTTTTATCACAATAATATATGATGAGTAAAACAAAAGGAAAAATCAATTCTTGGAAAATTCAGAACAGATACAAACAGCACAGTCAGCCAAGTACTGGGTCTATGTACTTGGCATGCACAAACAATGCACAATCCCCCCATGTATCTGTTCACTTGCTCTTACTATTAGCATTCCTAAATTTGGATTTTTACCAACCAGCTATTACAAACTTGAAAGAGACAAGATACTACCTGTCAGAAATGTTTCTTGTATTTTCCTCAGTTCATGTTTTCCCAAGCTTTTCCATATAAATTTACACTATAATAATTCTCTTTTTTACTTAATGTCATTATGCATGCTTTGAATTAATTCTCAACTCCAGACAAAATACACTGATACGAATCTTCAGCAAAACATTGTAGAAACTACATTGTACAGTGTGCACTTTCAGTATTTAACCCACCCTTCCTCAAAACATTTGTTTCATTTATAAAGTTGTTAGAATTTCCTAAAAGCTCTGAAAAGTTTTTCAGTGTTTTCTACCACCTGTGGTCAAGGAACTCACATTGCCTGACTTATAAGTACTTCAAACTGGGCTTACATCATATCAAATAATTATTATCACCATTTTCACTAACAAAAGGCCGTGCTTACTGCTTCCTGAACATATCTTGAGAGGTTTAAACCAGCAAATTCCTGCTCCAAGGATTCACGCTGAGACTCTGTAATGGTCCTCTAAACATGGAAACAAAAAGACATCATATGTCAAGCAATTTAATTACTAATGGCTCACATTTTCACCTTGAATTCACAATCAAGAAGAGAGCAAATTAAAGAACTTTGAGATACATGTAGATAGGTATATGTTGTATATGAGTGCAATTTTAATTAATTGTTCTGGGGTGGTAACTTCTTTTAGGAAAAACTCCAAGGTGCTTCCCAGGGGAGAAACCACGATAAGACTCATCAGTGATGTACATGTACATGTAAGCCAATCTGGCCAAGAGGCAGACTTTATTAAGTTATGCATATTGAACCTACAAAGTAAAGTACATGAAGCTAACTAGTAAATTCAGCCCTGCACATACCAATTTCTTAATAAATGCAGAATTTTTCTTCACTGAAGAGTCCTTTCCTTTAAAGTAAGACTCCTCAGGTCGCTGATCTGAAAATTAAACAATATCAATGTGCATGATACTATGTTGTAGGTCAATTTTGTTCACTCAACCCTAGCCCTAAATAGTGTAACCCACCATTCCAACCAATGCAATATACAGTTGAACCTCCACTAACAGCCACCTCTCTATAACAGCCACCTCTCTAAGATGGCCACTATTTTTGGTCCCAGAGGACAGTCCATACAGTACATGTACTGTACATTCACTCTTATTTTAACCTCTCTCAGCCACCTCTTCACAACAGTAATGGCCTCTAAAATGCCTCCCAACTGCCAAAATAACCTCTTGACATTGGCCAGCTAACCAACAACTGATGAAAGGTGTATACAGAAACCCACCTTATTATTCTAAAAGGTCATCAAACTTGACCTCTACCATGCATCATTGGACTCAGTTCCTGTTAAGGTGGCTCCATAAGGTAATCATTTGTTGTGTTGCACACACTATTGTTATGTTTTGAATGCTGTTTTTGCATTCATTTTCGCACCCAGTCCTCTCAGACTTATTACATGTACTGTGCGGCTCAGATAAGTGCAAACCAAAATATACGCGTAATTTGCGTAAGCCGAATACGCGTATGCATATACGCACATACGTGTATACAGTATATGCGCGTATGCCTGATAAGTATGTCTGAGCTAAGGTATTGTTTCTTCTTTTCTTAACAGGTCATTGTTGTTTTCAATGGCTTGACAGCTTGGCACAGAGTGAGAGAGATTTTTATTTATATTGAATACGCATATACAAGATACGCGCATATGCCTTCAGATGAGACTAAGCTGAATTGGGCACACCATTTACTGCTTTCTGTCAAATAGAACCGGGAATAGAAGCTTCAACAACCCCATCATCAAAGAGCAAACAATTTGTGCCAAGTACTACCAAAAGATAATGTTTTTCAAAAGAAAATGAACATGGTGCGTGCAAGTGACCTGCTGACACGTGCCAGAACACAGAACTTTTACTCACAGAAAAAATTGTAAACTCAATGTAAACCGCATGTCATGGAAACTTTGATAAACACTCCATTCTTCAATCAAGAAAAGAGTATGTAACTGGTAGAATGAATGATTTGTGCCAAATAGAAACGTAGATATCATTTCAGTTTCGATGAGAGATCTAGTCGGAACTAATGTGAAGTCAATAAACATTTTGCAAATGACTTCCTGAAGCGTGCCGATACACAAAACTTTTCCTTGAAGAAAATGAACTAAATGTGGGCAGCGCACTATAAAAACTTTGATCAACAATTCTTTCATCAAGGAAAGAGTTATTTTACCGTTTGAATGAACAATTTGTGCCAAACAGAGCCGGAGACATACTTTTTTTGACAGGAGATCTTATCGGACTGCAGAGACAATAAACATTTTGCAAGCGACTTGCTGACACCTGCCGATACAGAGAACTTTTCCTTGCCGAAAAATTGACTACACATGAGTGGCGCGCTATAGAAACTTAAATAAACAATTCGCCCGTCAAGAAATGAGTATTTCTACCATTTGAATGAATGATTTGTGTCAAATAGAACCGGAGATCTCATTTTTTCGACTAGGCCACGGAATGCTTCAGACAAGAAACATTTCACAAACGATTTGCTGATGCGAGCGAAACACAAAACTCTTCCTTGTAGTTTCATAATTTACCATTCTCAAAATTAACTGGGAGTCAATGTAGAGACATAGGTGATTATTTCATTTAAAAACTATGAGGACTACTTCCAAAATAATTCTTTGCCCCGGTGAGTTGTTCAGAGCCATAAATTGCAAAGTAAACATTTATACACGTAATAGTAAGTAAATGCAAACAATTTGTTAAAATAATGAGTTTAAGTGACTGTTTCAATTTTTTTCCCAACTTCTTGGCAGCTAAAGATCAAGCAAGTGTTAATAAACAGTAGTTCGTCAGTGAACTTGCGGAGTGATCGAAAACTCAAAATATTTAAGAGTCAGTGACTGGAAATATCGAGAATGGCTGGCCAGGTTGGAAAAATCGAAAATCCTGAAACTTTGCCTAAAGAATGCTTTTAGGGAGCCACTTTTGAAAATATTATTCCGATTTTCTTAGAATTTAAAGTCTTCGAGAAGTTCGCGAAAAACGAAAATATAGCTTTTTGCCTCATTAAATATGCAAGAAATATCTGGAAAATTGACAAAGTTCTCGGTATTCGCATTGATACAATTTACAAAACTAGAACTCGGGGTAAACTTAGCATAAGAGCTTTACTTTCCTTCTTTCTAACAATAGGAAGTTTTAAGTTTTTCAAGCATTTTGAAGGATTCCGT